GTTGCAGTCGCTAAGCCGATGAAAATTTTAAAGGTTTAGGACTATGTCAGCTTGATCTTTTTTACGTCTTCACCAGATTCAGAGTCCCAAGACATGAAGTTCATGGCCAACACCAATACAAACATATTGTTGCAGTCGCAAAACCGATGAAAATTTTAAAGGTTTAGGGCTATGTCAGCTTGATCTTTTTGACGTCTCTACAATATTCAGAGTCCTAAAACATCATGCTCATGGCCGCCAACACAAACATGTTGTTGCAGTCGCTAAGCCAATGAAAAGGTTTAGGGCTAGTCAGCTTGATCTTTTCGACGTCTTTACAAGATTCAGACCAACACCATGGCCAACACCAACTCCAACTCAAACATATTGCTGCAGTCGCTATAAGCCAATGAAAAGGTTTAGGCCATGTCATCTTGACCTGTTTTACGTCTTTACAAGATTCACAGTCCCAACCAACATTACCGAGCAGGGCTCGAAATTCATTTTTGGGAATAGGTGCACTGGTGCACCCAACGAAAAACATTGGGTGCACAAAAAATTCTTTGGGTGCACCATAAAAAACAAAACCTAATTACAGATCTTGCTGGGAACTAATTTCAAAATCTAAACAAGTACTACAATAAAGATTTTACTATTTTTTGACACTAAAATGCCATGAATATCCTGTATACTATTATAGATTTGATACGTACAAAAATGGTTCAAGTGCTATAGAAACGGAGATCTATTCACCATATAGTGTGAACTTGACCTTGTAACTATGATTGAACAAATCTGTTTTTTTGGCAAAAGCAAATAGTTACTACAGACTCTAAAGGTTTCAGATGACCCGTCGATGAAGGTTAGACATCCAGAAAATGAGATACACAAGAAAATTGTTACTCAAGCAATTGGTAGATTTTGACAGTTAACAATTTTCTTGCAACTGGATAGATTTTCAACACGGTCAATATGTATCCAGTTGCTTGAGTAAAATGTCTTTTCAATTGAATAGATTGTGAAAACTACTAAAATCTATCCAGTTGCTTGTCAATGAGTAACAACTTGCAACTGGATAGAATTTTAAAACTGCCAAAATCTATCCAGTTGCTTGAGTAACATTTTCCTTGCAATTAGGTGGATTTTGAAAACTGTTAAAATCTATCCAGTTGCCTTAGTAACAATTTCTTTGTAACTGCTTAGATTTAAAAACTGTCAAAATCCATCAAAATCTATCCAATTGCTTGAGTAACAATTTCTTTACAACTCGGTAAATTTAAAAAAAACAGGCAAAATGTGTCAAATAGCCTGAGTAACAATTTGTGATTCAGATGCTCGTGCAAAAACATTGGAATCATGGCATTCTAAGATGCCCATGATTCACACAATGTTCACAAGGCTCAATTTTATACTGAGAAATCATGACACGGAAGTAAGCTGCATTTCCTGTTATTAAGCAAAATCTATCCAGTTGCTTGAGTAACAATTTCCTTGCAACTCAGTAAATTTTAGAAATTTGTGATTCAGATGCTCGTGCAAAAACATTGGAATCATGGCATTCTAAGATGCCCATGATTCACACAATGTTCACAAGGCTCAATTATATACTGAGAAATCATGACACGGAAGTAAGCTGCATTTCCTGTTATTAAGCACAACTGTAAAACAACATGTTTTCCCCACGCTGTGCGGTGAGTGTGCATGTTTCACGTGTTTTCGCTGAGTCAGGGCGTCTAGGTGCTCTCTAATCCGGCAATGACGCACTAAAGTATGATCAAAGTATCACCCCAACAACCCCTCAAGCACAATAACAACAATACAGAAGCCTAGTGTTACATGTAGGCTTATTGAAGGGTTATTCAAGGACCCCATACCAAGGAGTGTGGGGTCGTGTGGCGCAACGGCAGAGTGGATTCTCAAGTGGATTCTCGGCACTCGGAATCAAGAGATCCCGGGTTCGAGTCCTGACATGCCACCTCCCACTGACACTACCAGGGGTAGTGTCAGTGGGAGGATGACTAGACAACATGCAAAACTTGACCAATTGCCAGCGCGCACAGAGCGGTACAACAGAAGTACATTACCGTACCTTGTTCACATTTTAAATCATGAATAGTCTGTGCAAATGTATGATTTTAAAATGATTTAATGACTGTTTTTACAACACGGAATGATGATCAGGATTTTATTTCACTGTCTAAAGCTTTTATTCACGCAATTCAGCCTTGTGGCTGCCTAGTGGTGGAGCTGTATTGTGATTTGTGTTTGTGTTTGAAATAAGCTAATGATATAATCATGTGCCCTTGGGAAAGGCACTTTACACGACTTTCCTCACTAGACTCAAGTGAAAATGAGTATTGTCTGTCCAGTATTTGTTTCTATGTGCGGGACACAACACCAGCAACAGCTGCCTCTGTTCCGTATGTATTGCATTGTTGCAATTTCAATAAATCAAATCAAATAAAGGTAAACGAATAACCAACTTGCTGGAAATGTAACTATGTTTCTGGAGAGAAAAAAGGTACAAGCTAGAGAGAGAGAGCGTTCGGCTCGGGTTTCCGAGTTTGAATCTTGCCATGCCACCGATCTTGTGCCTTTGGGAAAGGCACTTTGTACGAATTTCCTCACTTTACTCAGGTGAAAATTAGAATTTCTGTGGTCCGTTCATGCGTTTGCCTGCGTTGGTGGAGGCATGAAAATAAGTTGAAAAAACTTGAGTGTGCCGTCGCCATGTCTTGTAATACATGTTGGAATAGAAAAAAAGTTACAAGCTCGTGTAAAATCATTAAAAGCAGCAAATTTGAAATTTCGACTGCAAGAAAGTTAATGTCATGTTATGATTTATGAAATAATATTCTTTCCTGTTTTTTTTATTCATTCCAACATGTAATCACCATACGTGGTGACGACACACTCAAATTTTATCAACTTATATTAATGCCGCCACCAATACAGGGGACAAATACATGACAGGACAATACTCCTTTTCACCTGAGCGAAGTGAGGAAAGTCGTGTAAAGTGGCTTTCCCAAGGGCACAAGATCGGTGGCATGTCAGGACTCGAACCCGGGACCTCTAGGTTCCGAGTCGCGCACTCTGCCGCTACGCCACACGACCCCACTGTTGTTGACATAACCCTAAGCATGGCATACCCTTCTCGGAAATCTGTAGTTCGTTTGAACTATACCGACACTTGCGCGCACGCCAGTCACCCTAAGGAAATGACAAAGCAAAAATAATCCCAATGAAGAATACGCTAGTAAGGTGTTTTATACCTGGTATTAGGGCGTCAGGAAGTAACATCTTACCGCAAGTGGAGTCATTCTATGTTGTAATGACCGTGAAGCAGGAATAAATAAGATTACAGCTAGAACAGGGCTCGAAATTAACCGTGTCCCGATGGCCACTGACCATTAAAATTTTGGCCGGGACAACTATAAAGACACTTTGGGACATTTTGGGGACAATAGAAAAATAATCAACCACAGAATGTCAGCCCTTCTTTTGTTCACCAGGCACACACCCTGGCTCTTGGCTCCGGAAAAGTCCCCTCAAATGGCCTATTTTTGTCATACAAAAGTCATACGATACTTCAGAAAAACAGGTTGGGAAAGTTCATTCTGACTCCTGGACAGTTGAAATTAACATAGGGACAGTTAGAAACATTGCCATCTTTTTAAAACTCCCGAGCAATTTCAGGAAAGGGTAGATAGTTCACAACAAATTATGCATTCCAAACCCGTTTTTATGTTAACCATGTGTATTGTTTTTGCTCTGTTTTGTATTCTTCTCCAAATACATAAGGTTAATAACCGGAAACTGGTGCTGTAGCAGGCAGTATGGGTGTTGGGTTACATTATGTTGCAAGTTGCAGGACAGAATTGGAGAGGCTGGTCAATATATATTTTTCCTTTTTTATTCCACCAACTGTCTACTTTGTTTTACATACTAATACTTTTTTGATCGCGAAGTTCTACCAGGTTTTCATGTACTACAAATGAAAAGAATTAGTACTATAGTGACAAGTATGCACTTTTTTAACAGTGTGCCTTTACTCGATCAATTGTTACGTGCACAAGTGTTCTTGAGTCACCATTGAAATTATTCATTTTGAATGCCGAGGGAAATTAGATGTTAACTACAACCGGCATTGCAACGTGATCGCCCCCGCATGGCTTACAACACGTCCCCGTCAGTTACAAACACTTTAACTTGTTCCACATGCGTTTGTTGTCAATCAGCAACACATGGTCCGTAAGATACGGTTACCCGAGACTCGAAATCCACACCACACGACCAAATGGCAAAGTTATTAGTTGTTGGTAGGATCAAACAAACTCTGTTAAGGACTACTGACAATTCAGCACCAAGGACAGAGGCATACACTTTGAAATCCACCAGCACAAGCTATAGTTACTGCCATAAACAAGAAATCTGAGATTTCAAACCTAAGAGAAATATATAATGAACTAGAAAGGCCGACATTTGCTCAAGAGCAAATACAGCACATTTCACCCATTATTCCTCCCCATTCCAAATTTCCAACATTTCCTCAGGATTTGGTCCAAAAATGGACCTATATTTTATGCTTGAAAATGGAAAAAAGAACCAAATAAAACAATTTGAAAGGCCTATTTAAAATAAATTTAAAAAAAAAACGTCTGGGGGTATTTGCCCAATCTAGCTCCATGCCAAATTTCAGGTCATTTAGCTGAAAAAACGGCTGAGTTGAATCCCTTTAAAGAAATGGCAGGAGAAGGAGAAACATGAGTGAAAACAATACATTTCTCCCATACTATAGTATGGGTGAAATGTAACAACTGCTGACGATTAAAAATGTTATATTAACATCTATTTACTAGAAAAACAGGAGAACGCATGGGAAATACTTTGATATTGTCCTTGTTGTTTTAAACATTGATGTTTTGTAAAATTGGAATACAACGTGAATGACATTGGCCCTTGCCGGCTATGTTACAAAAAACACAAAATGCTTCACAATTCAAATGTATTTTATGTACCTTTTTGAAGGGCATCGTGACGTCACATCCGGCATCGTGAAACTCACAGCGCATGAGCAGCTGGTACAACTTTTCCCGCCAAATTCTGTGCAGGTGTCGAAGGTCGGATGACGTCACTGGAGCACGGCATGTTGGGCACGAGTCTGGAGGTGAGATAAAAATTTAATAAATAGAATATTCCAACATTTCACGTGGTGTCAATTTAACAATTCACAGTGATTAAAATTGCACAAAAAATAAATAAAAAAACAGCTATGAAATTTCCCATGGTCCCTTGTTCAAAAGCCTTTGACCCTTGACCTACCAAATGAAAAGGACCTTTAACCTAGAAATCGTATGTGACCCTTGACCTTACCATGACTGTCGAGCCAGGGCAGGATGCAGCCCTCACAGAAGGCGTGCTGGCACCGGGAGAACTCCCGGGGGTTTTCCAGCACCTCGTGGCACACAGCGCAGGTGCAGTCGTCAGGGATGTCGTCCAGGAACAGCACTTTCAAAACTCCCATGTTGATCCTCGCGCGCGCCGTTTTTTTCAGACGGTGGATTTCCAAGCCTATAAATTGCACCCTGGAAACGAAAAGATTTCTACGTCAAACGAAATAAATTTCATCATACCTGAGTCAAATTATCGCTGAGATGACATTGACGCCATCTAGCGAAGTTAAGGAAATCTGCAGATACACATGTGTGACGTCAGTGGCCGTTGCCATAGTGCTAGAGCTGTGTATCACGTGAAACACACCAGGGATCATTTCGTAGATTTTGGAAAATCGCCAGCGCCTCACCTCAGGGCGCGAAGGGGCGGCGAGTCTTTTACACTAAAGGTCTTTTGAGGAAGAGGAATGTACCAAATTTGTAGAAGAAGAATCTTTTTCCAAACCACTGATTACATGTTCTCAACACACACATGATGTCAGTCACCTAATTTTTACCATTTTTAAAACTCTCTAGGATAAATGAAGACCCGATGGCTCAGAACACGCGACCTTACAAAAGTGTAATTCGAACCGGGACGGGGGCCGTTACTGACTTCCAACCACCGTTGACCCGTTGCTCATGTCACACCTATATAAGTCCACATGTTCTGGGTCCACAGTTAGCCAGAGAGAGAAGACAATAGGAATCGGTGTGTCATCCATTGTATTATTTAATAGTTTTGCATTATTTCATTAGTATTATTTCATAGTTTTATATTATTTCAAGTATTATACAAACTCAAATATTCATACAACCTAAATTTGCAGTCACACGGTCAGACACGCGTTACAAAGCTTTAACCTAGAACAATTCGTGTTGCACTTAACACATAATCTGCCTTACACGTCTCAGACATTGGTAATGTGACTTTTAACTACAAGGGATTTGAAATAAGAAGGGTAAGACATTTGATACGACAAAGCTGAACTGGAAATCGAACTTGATAAGATAATAATCCCGCCACTCTGCTTGACGTTTTATCGTACAGCTTTGTCCTTGGGTGGTTAATTCTGACCAATCACAGGGCGAGGTTATGAGAGCGACGGGATTACCCTACAAACAGTCTTCCTGTGTGGTTTTTACTGTAGCATTTGTTGCTATGGCGACGACTAGCATCAATGCTATTGGTCTTTGCGAAGGATCTACGGTTAAATGTCACAAAATGTCAGGTAGGGTATTTTGTTGCGGGGGTATTAGCGTAGGATGTTGTTTTCTTCTCAGCGCTCTTCTAAAGTAGAAATTGTTTCAGATCTTTTATTTTTCATGTTCACGAACTAAACTTAAATCAAAGCTGTCTAAGCACAAGGCTGATAAGTATTAGACATAATATTAGTTTTTTCTTGCCCTGCAGGAAAATTATGATATTATTCTATATATGTAGTAGAAATTAATACATTTATGCTTTGGATGTTCTTTTTTGCCGCTCTTCCAAAGAAGAAATGGGTTTTGAATCTTTTTTTCATGTTCACGAACTAAGCTTAAAGCAAGGCTGTCTAAGCACAAGACTGATAAGTATTAGATATGACATTAGTTTTGTCTTGCCCTGGAGGAAAATTATGATATTATTCTATAAATGTAGTAGTAAGTAATCCTTTTATGCTTTGAATGTTCTTTTTCGCCACTTTTCCAAAGAAGAATAGGTTTTAGATCTTTTGTTTTTCATGTTCACGAACTAAGTTTAAAGCAACGCTGTCTAGGCACGGGACTAGTAAGTATTAGATATGGTATTAGTTTTGTCTTGCCCTGGAGGAAAATCATGATATTATTCAATATATGTAGTAGAAATTAATACTTTTATGCTGTAAATGTTCTTTTTCGCCGCTATTCCAAAGAAGAATAGGTTTTAAATCTTTTTTTCATGTTCACGAACTAAGCTTAAAGCAAGGATGCCTAAGCACAAAAAGCTGATACGTATTAGATATAAGATTATTCTTGTCTTTAGATCTTTCTATCTTTTGTTTTTCATGGTCACGAACTAAGCTTAAAGCAAGGCTGTCTCGGGAACAGTATTAGGCATAATATTATTTTTGTCTTGCCCAGGAGGAAAATTATGATATTATTCTATATATATAGTACAAAATAGTCCTGTTCTTCTTTTTAGGAAAGGAGTAATTTTTGTAGGTTAAGTTGGCTGAAACGCCTACCGTCTTGACACGTGTGCAAAATCAGAATGTTGTATTCATAAATGCGAAGGTCGAACATAACACACTATTTTCAGCAAAATATAACATTCTGGTGAAAAAATATAACATTCTGGGGAAAAGAAAACTTCAATAAGAATACTTTGACCCGTTAATGTTTTGAAAAAAAGATGCCGACCTTCGGATTAAACGAGGCTGTTAAGAAGGTCAGGAAAAATACGAAGAATTTTTCCTTCTTAGACAAAGGAAGGTATAGTAATGGTTATTGAATGTGAGTAAATTATTTAAGAAAATGTGAAGAAACGAAAATATAGATTCTATTATTCGCCATACCATACTCTGTGTTTAGTCATTTGTTCAACCTTCATGACCACGTAGATTTCATAATGAAGGCAACTTTTTGGCCAAACTTTTTTTTATTCACACTCTCGCATCAGTTTTTGGGCTCCCAGAGGATGTCATCCATATAATCAAATCAACATGGCCTAAACCCTAATACTACAAATTTGTTAAGTAGCCACAAAATCTACATGATAAATTGTATGAGGAATCAGATAGTAACCGCTATATTTCATCAGTATAAATTGAGTACAACATTCTCACTCTTGGCTTGTGGATGCTATCTGAAACATCTTTAGAGAATTTATCCAGTTAAATTATCTGATTTATTTTTGCCAACGTAATGTTAAACCTGGATGTCTAGCCATGAAACTGATTCTTCTAAATTAGAGCACGTACTGAATTTAGAGCAGCCGCAAACGCTGACCAAGGAGCACTCCTCTAGCCAAGTGTTGTCTTGGCAACGTAGGATCTGCTTGGAGATTACTAGCGGTGCCCTTTCATGCAAGTTTGACCCACGTATTACTGAGTACTCATCCCCATGGACAATGTATGGCGTACGTAAGAGCTAGTTATTGACGTATACAGGAAGTCCTCCACATCTGCGGTCAATATTACACCAGGGGTGCCAGAGTATACAGTGCAATTTTACGGAATACAGTGCAATTTTACGGAATACAGTGCAATTTTACTAGTATGCAGTGCAATTTTACGGAATACAGTGCAATTTTACTAGTATGCAGTGCAATTTTACGGAATACAGTGCAATTTTACAAGTATGCATTGCAATTTTACTAGTATGCAGTGCAATTTTACGGAATACAGTGCAATTTCACGGAATACAATGCAATTTTACAGAATACAGTGCAATTTTACTAGTATGCAGTGCACGTTTACGGAATACAGTGCAATAGTATTAGTATACAGTACAATTTTGATAATGTACATTACAATTTTACTAGTACAATTTTACTAGTAAAATTGCACTGTTCATTAATACGATTGCACTGTATTCCGTACAATTGCACTGTGTACTCAGGCACCCCTGTACACTGTCTAACCTCACTTTTCACAAGAAGGAAAAAACACTAATCAAATACGTTGTTTGTTTTTAACAGAAATTACATCGAACCGTTTGATTACTGTTAAAACAAAGCAAGGCCCGAGGAGTGTAATTAGTTATTTGAATACACATTCCGTGTTCGTGTAAACAATGTTGCGATCCCCAACATATTGTAAGCACCATATTCAGACGCCTATTACGTTCCAGTTATTGCATGTACTATATTATCATTACACATATTTTCCTCATTTTTTTATCGTTTTTTGTAGGTATAACTATGCAAAGGTTATGTGGGATAGGTTGTTCAGTATAAGGTGATATAACCGATTGCTACCGCGCCGCGTGCTTGCTTAGTTCGTGTGTTACGCTGAAGAGCGATTATAATTTGTTCCGTTCAATAGCTACACTGATATAAGGTTAGAAGCTGGTGTATTACGATGAAAAGATGGTTATACTGGCGATACAGATACAGAAGCTGGTGTGTTGCGCCGAAGGGCGGTTATACCGGCTATACAGATACAGAAGCTGGTGTGTTACGCCGAAGGGCAGTTATACCGACCATACAGATACAGAAGCTGGTGTGTTACGCCAAATGGCGGTTATACCGACGATACAGAAGCTGGTGTATTACGCCGAAGGGCGGTTATACCGGCTATACAGATACAGAAGCTTGTGTGTTACGCCAAAGGGCGGTTATACGGGGTACTGGCCATACAAAATCTAGTGTGCTACTGCAAAGCCCGAATACACATTTACAGATACATATTGCTTACGCAAATGTTACTATATGAATACATATATGAAATTTAAAAACGATTCAACGACGTGAGTCCCTATATTACGAGCTATATATGTAGTCTCAAATTTCGTGCAACAGGTATTTTCATCATTCAGCAACAGCCGATATTATAATACGAATCCGCGCTCTACAATAGAATGCTTGTTTTCGGCAAGGTAGAAGTGATGTAAAAACATGAGCGCGTACTTACGTGCAAACGCTCGTGCCAGACGCTTGATAATTTCGCCTGTAACACAATAGAAAAGAGCACAATTTCTCATAAAAATTGCACAATCATACATCTTCACTGAGTAAGAAAATTGACAATAACAATCACTTGAATATGAGTAAAAGTCATGAGTAATTTTTCGTGCAAAACGCCACGGCGTAAGCCATTGTACCACCAAACTGATCAAATCTACCGCACTCTTGATTACAAACGCATCTATGTGGTTAACACAATATGGTACACTCACCTCAGAAATATGTCCTCCTCGGTTTTAGATGTCTAGTGTATGTGGGAAAGACCTAGCCGACACGACAAGCCCTCAAAAAAACAAGGCGTGGATTTTTTTCTCTCAGGAAATGCCAAATGCTGACGGTTGTTTGGATTTCGAACTGCTGACGTCAGCGCCCTGTTGCCATGGCAACGGCCAGTGCTTGAATAATGGCGGCGGCTTGTGTCAGGATGTGTTTTGGCGGGGGCGCAAATTAGTCGGCATCGTCTCTTGCCCTTAGGTAAACATTTTGATAGAAAAATAACAACAACTTGCAATCATTCAAAACATCATTATCACACCATAATATACGTGGCGCTGTTAAGAAGAGAAAAGTATAACTGTAAAGAAAAAATGCTGCGTTTTTCTGCGTTATGTAATCCTCAGAGATGGTCTGAGTGGATCAAATTTCCGGTCGGTTGGAACGTGGTATAGCCCAGATTTAATGCCGTATTTCCGGACCATGTGTACAGTTGACGTCATAGGTTAGGCCATGGCAAGTAAATTTTATGGATGACATCCTCCGCAGACTCCAAATTTAATGCGATAGGGCGAAAAAGAAAACAAGGCAGGCTAAAAAAACAAGGTCCCTATATTTTAAATGTTGACATCATAAACCTTGTTATACAAGAAATGATACCTATATTGTGCTAAGTTTACTGCCAACTATAACAACATCCATTGTCACTGAAAAATAAAAGTTTTGATCATTGTACAAATGGTTTTGATTCAGTGGGAACATCACATATAAAATGAATAAAATACATCACTGCATCAAAGTAAAACACAAAACAATAAATCAGAGCCTTGTTTATCTTGTCCCTCTCTTTATATTTATCTGCCATCCATGTTCCGGCATGGCAACAGATATCTTTACGCATTTTCGGCATGTTGACCACTGTCAGCGGGCAACTATTTTTTTTTTCAAAATCAGGCGAAAATTGATGCGCGCGCTGATGTCATCCATAAAAATTACTTGCTGTGGCCTTACTGACAAATCCGCCCGTATGTGCCTCGCATGTGATCTAGGTATAATTTTTTTGTTCATGTTTCAAACAGTTGCTACAGTTTTCCAACAAACATTTCTCACCAGTATTATATATTTATTTTTACAGAAAAATTACAGTTTAACTGCACATATATATAGATAATAGTTCGTTTTTAAATATTATAAGTAGTCCTTTTATGAAATACTATATCATATCAGGTAGTTCTGGGTTCGACAAAACGTCTTGTACATCGGCACACTACCAGACAATTTGTAACATTTTCAATCATCTATGACAAAATATATAATTACTCTTAAACTTACGGCCATATATACGCACTATTTGAACTTGTACATCATCACAGTTGTCGACATTTCCAACTAGTATTGTCTGGTTAATACCGCTATCAGCGACAAAATATACACTTGTTGTATCTTTGAGATATCTCGTGTCTAAAACACACAATGCTTTACATGAAAGTTCATCTGTGTTGGTACAAGTCATTATGAAATAAAGATTAAACTTTCTCTGCTAACACTATAATAAATTGGGACTTACCCCAAATTTTCGGCTGACTCCTTCAACCAGAGACGGGGGGCGATACAAGTTATCTGGCACGAATGACCCTCTACTACGGTCACGTATCACTGACGTCACGTTCCAAGAGTGGACGGGTCCATTCCGTGAACAAGGTTGACGGAGTCAGCCAAAAATTTGGGTAAGTCCCAATTTATTATAGTGTTGGCAGAAAAAGTTTTGTCTTTATTTCATACGCACAATGCTTAATTATCTTTATAAACCGTTTCTATGTATACTTATCGTTTTCTGCAGTTAAAATGTACAGACAAGTGAGACCTGTTGGACATCAATACGGCACCACACTTCAGTCGGCACGCATACGCTGTAGCTACGCAACACATAGCTGGTAAACAACAATTAGGAATCGTATTTTCCAAAGGTAAGTAAAACTTTCAATGATGAAAATTCTCCACTTGAACCTATTGTATCGTTCTGTAACTAGATAGCAAATACGCTTGCCATTATTACCTCCGGGGAAGGATATATCCTTCCGCGGAAGGGTTTTGTGGGAGATGTAGATTTTCACGTTCGCAGCTGTTTCTCGCGTTTTGCATGGGTGGACGGATTTTTTTGGGACTCGGTATATGTTTTGTTATTGATCAATGGTTTGGGTGCTTGGCTCAGATCCTAGATTCAAATCCCCTAAGTTAACATGGCCTGATGTCGTGCCCTCTGGAAATGCACTTAACACGACTTGCCTCACCTCACCCAAGGTGAAAATGATTACCTATAGCTAGCTATGGTTAGGGGCGTTCTTTTAATAGGACGTTTGATGGAGGTCTCGAATGTGCTCAACCAGTAGAGTGCTCGCTTTGTAACCAGGAGGTCATGAGTTCAAACCCCGACCGGGTCATACGTATACCAAAGACTTAAAAAATTGGCTCATACTGCCTTCTCTGCTTAGCACTCAACATCTATGAGAAAGGGTATGGGAAGGTCTAACACACAACACTACCAGTGGGCTAGCCCCCTGCTGTAGTGCTTGCACAACTGTGTGGCCCAAGGGCTACAGGGATGGAGGTAGGCGCCACCCCTATGCTCTGCACAGAGTGGAACGGGACTTTTTTTAACTGGGAAAAGCTACACCCCACGCACGTTAAAGAACCCACCTCAATTTCGAAAAAGAGTATGGTGATGTTAAATAAACCTGTCATTATCCACTAAGAAAGTCGCATGTTTTCCATACAGAAAGTGATAAAAATTTGGTCCCTATCAAATGGTGTTCGAATTTGATGTTTATTAACGACTGTCTATAAGGCCATGTTGATTTGATTATATGGATGACATTCGGCCGTTTAAAAAAAAGTTTTTAACCATACTGTAAATGGTACAAAACAGATGCAAAATGAGCAAATATATACCGTAAGTTGCAAAAAAAAAATATATTGGAAAACGATACCAATAGAATGCCAAAATCAAACGAAAAAGACGAAAATGTCAAGAAATGAATTTAAAGATTAGATTATTCACCTTACCATACTCTTGTCATTTGTTTAACCTTCATAACCAACTAGATTTCATAATGAAAGAAACTTTTTTTTTTGCCAAACGCTCGCATCAGTTTTGGGGTTCTCAGAGGATGCCATCCATATAATCAAATCAACATGGCCTAATTGTGTTTTCTAAGATGTGAGGACCCTATTGCATGATTTTAAACTATTCGGTCACGATTAATGTTACGATCAGACTTCAGTGTCTTCTACTTGAATTTGACTGCACGTTTCTGCCTCTTTCTCCGATGTCGAGAGACTGCGGTCGTCGGTTTTCTCAACCTGTGCCTCCACGTCCAGGGACCAATGGTTCGGGGCGCTGTCGTGCCGACGGCGATCGCGAGGTGGCGTCTCATTCTTGCATCTCATGACGACTGTAGTTCGGGTCACCATGCTTCGACGATGTCTGAAAACATTAATTTCATCAAAGCAATCAGAGATACTGGGCTTCATATCATTACCCTAGGCTAATCTCTACATGTTCCACATACAAAAATAGAAGCATTGAGGCTGATTTGACATGCATGGAAGAACCAACCAACCAACCAACCAACCAACCAAACAAACAAACAAACAAACAAACAAAAAAATAATCTTATCTTCAACAACAAACCGTTCTAAATTACTAAACATTTAAGAATCCCCTCATCAATGGCATTTGATTTAAGTATTAACATCTGAGAAAATTGTTGTTTCATATGTTGAGTATCATGTAAATAGTGCAATTGGTGTTTTTAAATTGCAAGTGTCAGGGATACCTGAAAAACAGGCTCTTACCTGAATGTATAAATGATTAATAGAATTAGATATAAGAAAAAAAATGCAAAAACAAAGTACTCATCTTTTTTTATTTATCAAAACATGAAAACATAACAAGGACAGTGTGACGCTGCACTCAAGTTTATAACTTATATCAACAGCGCCACACAACAAAAAAGTGCAATTAACATTTAAATACACAAAGTTGACATATCTGTGCGCCGTAGTCCCACCACCTCAAGCCATTAAAATGTTAATGCTAACGAAGATATTTGAAAAATAAGATAACGTGGTAACGTCCTATATCTCATTGGCGGAAATACCTCTGCCAATCAGAGCTAGAAGGAGAATTTAGGCCTATTAACACATACGTAGTCCTCACCTTGCTGGGAAAAATATTCCCATGAGCCTCCGCTGGAAGTGTTGCCCAAATATGGTATACAGGTAGGGGTTAATGGCGCTGTTGGTGATCAGCAGCATTTCGAACCCGATATGGAGCTCGTTCGGCGCCACGAACCAATCAAATCGCTGGGCGAGGTACGCCACGTTCTTCGGCAGCCAACAGATGACGAAGACGACAACAATGGCGAACACCATCTTGGTCACCTTGGTGGTGGAAAAACAAAACACAGCAGGACCCAACCTTAACTGAGAAGCTAATTATATATTGTATACCAGAAACTTCACACACAGATCCTATTCTACTGCAATGTATCCTAATAGCTAAATATGTCATATACAGCTGCTTCATTAAAAATATAAAACCTGACATGAAATACTTCCAATGTAAACTAAAACATCAGATGACAATATTGAATGCTACCCAGTAATTTGTTTAGATGATATATATACACACCTCTTTCTTTTGTTATGAATGATTACCTGATGTTATTTTATCTTCCCTTACTTTATCTCTGTTTATTATGTGCACCGTATATGATTTGTTTGTATGATTTCCTGAATACTGAATAAAGCTGTTTAAAAAAAAAAATCTTGGTCACCTTCTCTTGCGACCGTTGCGTTCGGTCCAGGCTAGCTGCCGCGTTCCGTATGTGCCACAGGATCCCGATGTGCGTTCCCGTGATGAGGATGATTGGAACCACAAACGATAAGAAGAGTACCCCGATCTCAGACAGACGCTCCCAGAAATGGTCGTCACCGTGGTATGCCGGGAAATCGTAAAGGCACATGGGAGTATCGCAGTACGGTATGGGACTCCCGATGTCGGCCCAGATCACCCAGGGAAGGTCTATCACCGTGGAGATCACCCATAGCAACGCGCAGACAATTTTTGCAGTTCTGGTGGTCTTCCAGTCCAGAGACCGTAGCGGCCGTGAGACACAGAAGTACCTATCTACACTCATAGCCGTTAGAATAAACACAGTGTTAAACATGTTCAACCCGGCTATGAGATAGTACACACGGCACAAGAAGTCGCCGAAGATCCACTTCAGGTTCATGATGTTGCGGGTTACCAGTACCGGCACCATCGAAAGCATCAGCATGTCCGTGGTCGCCATGTTGAGGACGTAGATTTCCGCCGTCGTTCGGGCCTTTTCGTGTTTCCGAAGGACCAGGATGATCAGCGCGTTACCCACAATTCCCGCGAAGGCCAAGAGGCTGAAGATGACGTAATACGGCATGAGGTTTTGCAGCACGAGTTCCTCGCAGACCGGTATGGTCTGGTTTGTACTGTTTGTTTGGTTTAACTGGTTCTCGAAGAACGAATCAAAGATCTCTTCTGTCTTGTTGTCATTTGTAGTCAAAGGATTATAGCTGTGGCCCTCCATTTTTAAACTCTTTGCCCACCGTCAAATCCTTTTAAAGAAACAACTAATGACCAATTATTGCAGTTACGCACATTTATCGAGAATCTATTCTGAGGCTAGAATGACTGTATGCTTCAAGACGCACGTTGTTGGTTTGTTCCTCGGCGCCTGCATTATCGTAGCAACTTGATAGGCGGCGCTTCAGAGCCTTGGCCTCTTTAGACTTCTTAGGTTGAGCCTGAAATAGTAAAAGACAAGGAATATGGTAAATACCCTTACTCTCAGTACTAACGGTCATTTATTATAGTACAAAAGGAAAATGTGGGTACATATGTCCATGCGTGTGAAATTACAACCTCACATACCGTGTATGCTGAAGGGTTAATGCCCCGCCCCAAGGTGTATATGGTGAGATAATCAGGTGCGATAACTACCAGGTGCGATAACTACCGAATAAACCACCGAGTGAGCGTAGCGTAACTACTGTTAGTACCCTGTCCTCTGTATAATGGTACGGTACAAAAAGTGGATAACCGACCACTTTTTAGGTTATGGCCTGATAACCAATAGGAAATGGAGCCTTCTGATTGGTCGACGTCTTCTGGCTATATGATAATATACGTTAACCAAGTGTTCGAAGATGAATCTTCGAACTCAAATATTTATTACCACATTTTATTGCAGCATGATATGAAAACAATATGTTTATGTTTGTTTAAGTACAAGCTTTGTGTAAATGATTGTATTGTGCCAAATCAGCAATTCAGCACTCGGGCTGGGAGTGATTTATATTTTATTTTTATAAATTTAATAACAATTCATCATCATCAATCATCATCATTCTCATATTCTACTTTGTGATAGCAGATTACTGGGTGCAAATGGGGACAACGGCAGAACATTACAGTCATTGGATAGAGCACTTTACTTTCTACCATTCAGTGTGGATTCTATACCACTGTATCTGTATCAGTATAGCCAGTATAACCGCCCTTCGGCATAATACACCAGCTTCGCTGACACTAGCTATATTCCATCGAACGACTTGTTACACTCAATCTTTGCAAATCTAATTGCAGGAGTTGTTTAAAGCTGTCTAGTGATGATGCCCCAACTGTGCTTGGTGGCAGCGAGTTCCAGTCTACGAAAGTTCTGGGAAAATACGAGTTGTTGAACACCTCAATTCTTGGTTGATAACTCTGATATTGGAAGGAATGACTGTTTCTTGTTCTTTTCTGGGCTGGTATCAGATACTTAGTGGTTGGTACGTCCACCAGTTCATTAGTCATTTTGTACATCATATGCATGCACAGGCTGGGCATTCTTCGTCTGTCTTCCAGCGACCCCCACTGTAGGTTTCTTTTCATTTCCGTTACACTAGCACCCCTTTACATTTAATTTTAGCACCCCTTTCATAGTTCACCCTAAAGCACAAGGAATCTACGTTTTTTTAGCAAAGAAAAGTTTGCCATCAAAGCTATTTAATGTCTTCCCAATGGGTTCCACTATTACTACAACCATTATCCACTTTCCATAATGTAAATTGACAATTTGTATTGACTAATTTCATTCATTGCCCTACTTTTAATGCACTGGTAGTCATGATGACTTTGATTTACAAACGGATGAAAATCGATAAAAGATACAAATTGTGGTAAGGCCACAGCAAATAATTTTGATGGATAACATCAGAGCGCGCATTAATTTTCGCCTGATTTTGAAAAAAAATTGTTGCCTTCTGACAGTGGTCAACGTGCAGAAAAGGGCAAAGATGTCTGTTGCCATGCCGGAAGGTAGATGGCAGATAACTATGAAGACAAGGCTGTGATTTATTGTTTTGTCTTTTACTTTGATGTAGTGATGTTTTTCATTCCTTTTATATGTGATGTTCCCACTGAATCGAAAACATTTGTACAATTATTGTAAACGTTTATTTTTAAATTTGTTTCAGTGACAATGGATGTTGTAATAGTTGGCAGTAAACATATCACAATATATGTATCATTTCTTGTTTAACAACAAAGGTTCATGATTTGAAAATGTAGGAATCTTGCTTTTTTTGTTTCGTTTTTTTTCTCCCAGTCGCATTAGATTTGGAGTCATCCATAAAATGTACTTGCTGTGGCCTAATGGGAATATGGGACGTCGAATGATCAATGATATGACCTACTTATTAGTTTGTGAAATAGGCACTTTCAAGAACCACATAGAAAAATATGGTTGGAATAACAATACCAATATATATGGTTGACCTACACTGGATGGATGACTGACTGAACTAAATTGCCAAACGATCGCAGAGGGTCTAATGTACAAGGGTAATATAGCTATCCGTTGTTCATCTTTTTATTCTATGTACATGTATTTAGCCCCCGGGCAAAAACTTAAAACATAAACTTTCCTTTAAATTCCGCCCGCTAGAAGAGCCTAACAAAGCCACATTGCACTATTAGCTACCAAAAAAGCTTTGCGTGCTTGGGCGCAAGCATTTCACCTCGAGTTCGACTTAAAAGACAAAAATTAACAGTGATATCGTTCAAGATAAGACTTTCCTCCAAACTGATTTAGGGATACTGCCTGTGTTTACGTTTCTGCAAGACGTGGATATGATATGTTCTATACTTGTTGATGAAAAACCAGCTTTTCTAGTGATGCTGACATGACAGAAAGCCAAGGAAGTTGACCAAGTCGGAGAGCTCAGGATCAATAGTGACCTCAATATCTCGGGTCATTTATTTAAGACTCCTGGGCGTCACGAGTCATGCACAGCAGGGTTTACTTAGCTTAGAAAAGGGCAAGGAGCAGGGTTGGTGAGCTTTAAAACGAACAACCAGCAGGGTTTGTTGATCTTAAAGAAAGCATCAGGATTTGGCGACCATAAAATGGAACACGAAGCAGGGTTTGGTGATCTTAAAAAAGAGCAAGGAGTAGGGTTCAGTAAGCTTAAAAAAGTACAAGCAGCAAGGTGATCTTTAAAAAAGATGGCATCAGGACTTGGCGATCGTAAAATGGAACACGCAGCAGGATTTGTTGATCTTAAGAAAGAGTCAAGCAGCAGGGTTTGTTGATCTTACGAAAGAGTCAAGCAGCAGGGTTTGGTGATCTTAAGAAAGAGTCAAGCCACAGGGTTTGGTGATCTTAAGAAAGAGTCAAGCAGCAAGGTTTGGTGATCTTAAGAAAGAGTCAAGCAGCAGTGTGTTGTGATCTTAAGAAAGAGTCAAGTAGCAGGGTTTAGTGATCTTAAAAAAATATCCAAGCAGCAGGGTTTGGTGATCTTAAAAAAAATATCCAAGCAGCAGGGTTTGGTGATCTTAAAAAAGAGCAAGCAGTAGGGTTTGGTGATCTTAAACAAGAGCAAGCAGTAGGGTTTTGTGATCTTAGATAAAGTAGAATGGCTTAGTGATCTTAAAAAGGTTTAAATGACCAAGCAGTGTACAGGGCTTGGTGATCGTAAAAAAGAGCAAGTTGAGTGAAACATTTTCCATCCTGGCAATAGAAGCAGCAGGCTCGGGCGCATCTGTTAGATACACATTAATTTGCCGGTTCATTAGGAACACATGTAGGTCTGTACGTGGTCACAGGCATGGCAGACGGGTTCCTAGTCGTGCTAGACCGGGGTAGGAAATCATCTCATACCGTAGAATGTTACTCTAGGGGAATGAATCGTGGTTAACGTGTAATGTCACACACCTAGAGGTAGAACGATGACTGATTGGGTTCTGTGAGCAATTCATCATATTAATATGGCATTATATGTTCTAAAGCAACAAGACAGTGTCTCAACTTGTATTTCAATATATAAACACCATAACTAGTATTTGAATTATACAATGTAAAATTCATTTTTCATGTGCGTGTGCGCGCGCGCGCGTGTGTATGTATAATGTAGCTTTGCGCAATAAAAATATTGACACAAAAAAAGGACAGGGACTTTCGTATTGTATGCTGTAACAATGAAGGTTTAACTATTCTCTAACATGTGGTCTCTAAGATCGAAACATTCTTTAATGTATTTTCCTAATTTAATACTGTATTGGTTGTCTCTCCTGAGAACGTAGTTGAATTTATAGGATCTAACGTATTGAAATCAATTGAACAAGCGGAAAGAAAAGTGAACAGCAATAGGCGCTTATCATTGTATAGTGCACATTCCATAAAATACACGACTGTGCCCTTTTCGTTCTGGTGTTGCAAACTCTTTTAATCAAAGCGATCTTTAAAAGCAGCTGCAACAATCTCTGACTTACAGGACAGACGTGATAACCATGTCAAAACGTCACAAGCACAGATAGAGTCCTCATTCAGAATTCAAGCCTAAAATTGGCTGCATGGTCTCCGGAAAAGTTAGCTGCAGACGCCAGTCCACTGTTAGACAAGAATTCTGAGATTTCATACCTCCATGAAATATGTAGAGTTTATGTAAATGTTTTTTTTTGTATTTGTCTCATTCAAAAATAAGATCATAATTACCACAATCTAGTTAAATTTATGGTTTTCTAAATTCAAGTTATAATAATAATGCATATTTATGTTAATCTGTACTAGGTAACTTACACATGACACAAGGTAGAAAATTCCCCTCATTCCTACGACCTACCGACATACCAAATATCATCACAATCCACAAAGGCGTTCTGAAGTTATGTTGACTACAAATGTGCGGACACACAAACACACAGACAGACACACACACAGACACGCCAAACACATTACCTCCATTTTTCATGGAGGTAAGAAGTGGTTTGATAGAGACAATGGACTGCATTCAGCAGAAGACGGAAGTCACGTTCAACGATGGCAGAATCTATCTTTTCCCCTCATTTTTTGACGTGGTCTGAAAAATGATTAGCAACACTATGTAAAGTATAAATCAATCCAGAAGGTTTTAGCTATA